GCGACGGGGCCGCTAGGGGCGGCGACGGGGCCGCGTAGGGGCGGCGACGGGGCCGCGTAGGGAGGGGAGCGGCGACGGGGCCGCTAGGGACGGCGACGGGGCCGCGTAGGGGCGGCGACGGGGCCGCGTAGGGAGGGAGGCGGCGACGGGGCCGCTAGGGGCGGCGACGGGGCCGAGTAGGGGCGGCGACGGGGCCGCTAGGGGCGGCGACGGGGCCGCGTAGGGGCGGCGACGAGGCCGCGTAGGGAGAGAGGCGGCGACGGGGCCGCTAGGGGCGGCGACGGGGCCGCTAGGGGCGGCGACGGGGCCGCGTAGGGGCGGCGACGGGGCCGCGTAGGGAGGGGAGCGGCGACGGGGCCGCTAGGGGCAGCGACGGGGCCGCGTCGGGGCGGCGACGGGGCCGCGTAGGGGCGGCGTCGGGGCCGCGTAGGGAGGGGAGCGGCGACGGGGCCGCTAGAGGTGGCGCGAGGGGCCGTGAGAGGGGCCTCTAAGAGAGCTCGACAGAAGGGCGGCCCACAAGGCGCGCCTCGGGCAGGAGTGACTGGCGCTCCGGTCAGAAAAAAAAGTTTCAGTGGTGGGCCCCAGGAAGCGTTCCCACTAGGGAACCTGCTCTATACCATGTTAGAAATGAGGAATGAATGAACTAGCACAAGGTTGGGTATAAGTAGGAAACCCTAGGAAACTGTACCCCATAGTGTTTACCCCACTATAGCCTAGACAAGCTATATGATATGAGTTTGACATGTTGTCTCGTGCTTGCAGGACCACGATGCCTTGCGCATTGGCGCACAGCTGCTCGTTGTTGGCGGCGGTGACGTAGGTTGCGGGGTCGCGGCTCAGATTCAAGACGTATCGCGTGGATCCCACCATGTGCTGTCAGCAGCAGCTGTCCAGGTACCAGGTGTTGTAGTTGTCAGTGTTGTTTCTGCGCAGAAGTAGCGCCAGTCGCGGAGTCACCAGGGTTGCTTTGTAGCGCCTGTGGAAGGGGGGGTCTTCGTCTTCCTTCCATCCCACTGGTACGTATTGTTGTTTGTCGTGTGGCGGGCTTTCCCGCAGCGTGATTGGCTGATTCCAATCCTGCTCGTCCTCGTCATATAGGTAATAGTGATCTTCAGTGAGGGGATTGTTCCATCCCTCTTCTGGTTCCAGAAGTCTTCCTTGAACTTCGTTCTCTTCGTCAGGTTCAGCAGTGCGGCGTCGGCGCGTCGCCATGTTCGCGATGATGTTCCTGGGAGCTCCTGATTGAGGTCCTTGAGTTTGCTGGTGTTGATGCTGTGCAAGAGGACGAACTGTGTGATGCTGAGGCTGAGAGTGACGAGTGTCTTGTCGGCCGACCCAGTTGTTGTGGTGAGTGGAATTTGGGTGGCGGAAGTTGGATCGGGATTTGCATCGATCCGTTGAGTGTCCGAAGACTTTGCATATTTTGCAATAATGGCGCCTTGGTTGTCGTCGCTCTTCTCGGTTGTCTGCGTAGAAGGCGAGGCGCTCTCGGCGCGGCGCGGAGCTTGTTCTGCTCGAATCCATGTCCTGCTGTTCGGACAGGAGTGCGGCGCATAGCGCGGCTTCTGAGATGATTCCTCGCTGTCGGAGTAGGGCTTTACAGGGCTTCCACTCTTGCCCGAGTCCTTGAAGGACTATGTTGACGAAAATCTCTTCTGAGATTGTACTCCCATGCTTCGTGATCTGGTCACGGATGTTGCGACATCGGTTAATATACGGATTCGCTTTCTCCCCGTGCCCCATTTTTATCTCCAAAAGTTGCTGCAGAAGCCTGCTGGCGGTGACCGAATCTTTCGGCTGGTAAACTTCAATGAGGTGCTTCCAAGCTTCCAAGGCTGGAGCGTCGCTCTCTTTGTAGGAGCGAATGTTGAGTTGTTCCGCAGGCGTCATGTTGCGTAGCAACACACTGTAGGCCATGAGGGACTCGCTGTAGTACTGAGCCCTGGCGACTTCGGTGTTTTCCACCGGTTTAGGGTAGGAGCTGTCGAAGTAATGGTAGATCTGCGCTGTTTGTAGGAGGAGCTCAAGCTCGAAACTCCATGTGTAGAAGTCCTTGCCGTCAAATGCGGCAGTTGTTTTGATTTTTGAAACGCTAAGGAAGCGTGTTTGCGCAGAGTTGATAGCTTCATCATTTGGATGGGGGGCAGTTGTTGTTGATTTGTCTGTGTCGCGGGAGAAGGTATGCGCGGCGGTATCACGGTTTTTCTTTGCCGGTTGTCCAGGTTGTGCTGGTTGGGAAGAGGTTCCCGCATCGCCTTTGCGCAGGTCTTGAATTTCTTTCTCCATAGTTGAAAGTCGAGCGAAAAGTTGCTCGAGAGCGGCAGTGCCGATCGTGGTTGTCGCCTCATTTGTCGCAGCCGGGCTGGTTTGTCCTGTCAGAAGTCCACTGGTGATCCCCGATTGATCCTAGGGAAGGGTTACAGGCACGTCGGCCTGGGGGGTTATGGGCGCACTCACCCGCTATACAAACAAGCCCTTTTATCCCAGTGGTCTAGTGGTTGGGATTCTGACATGGTATCAGAGCAAAGGTCTCGGGTCCGAATCCCGGTGTGTGCACTTTGGGCATCCCAGTGCGGGGGGGTGTCAGAAGTCCACTGGTGATCCCCGATTGATCCTAGGGAAGGGTTACAGGCACGTCGGCCTGGAGGGTTATGGGCGCACTCACCCGCTATACAAACAAGCCCTTTTATCCCAATGGTCTAGTGGTTGGGATTCTGACATGTCCTTCAGCCGTCGGATTTGCTTGGCCTCCGGATCCCCCGGCCATCTTGGTCTTGGAGCGTGTGCCACTCGTCAGATCTAAGTTCGGCGAATTTCACGGAAGTGAAGTTGCGAAGAATCCATGAGTAGCTCTCATACCATGTTACAATCCCAAGTGGGACTTAGCGAAGGATCGCTCCGGGTTGATCGCAGAGTATGTTGCAGCGGAAGTTTGAATCTCAGGTCACAGTGAATGTAAATGACTGAGTTGATAGAAGCATGCATACCGTACATCGGGTTTATATAAGAATACAGGGGAATACGAAAAGACCTAGGCTAGCCATGTACTCTAAGGGGTACATTCCCTTATTACAGCAGTTTCAAACCGTGCGGCGCGGGAACCCGTTTTGAACATGTTCCCGCTCTTTTCACTTCAAATGTTTCTGCCTGCATCGGTCTTGGTCAGGCGGTTGCTGCGTCGCTTCGACTCTTCGGACTCCTCGACTTCGTACTCGGTAGAGTCGGCTCCTGCAGCATACAGGAATGCCTTCTCATAAAACTTCATATCGTAACATACAGTAAGGAATACAATTCCTTACAGATTCGATATTGACTTTAGCGCACTCTTTCATTCACAGCTCATAACACTTTTTAAAACTTGTAACACTTTCCAAGTTACGAGCTACTCAGGATTCCAACCAAACCCTTCTCGTGCTCACCCGTCATCCCACCATCACATCACATCATTCTTGCCACTGTTCGCTACTCCTTACCTCAGTTCTTTTTGGGCTCTCACTGTGTTGTAATGGCGTCGGGAACTTCCCCACCACCCGATGCGGAGCGGCGAGCGGGGTCGTCGGATCGGAAGCGCGATCGGGATCGGTCTCGAGAGAGGAGCTCGTCGCGCCCCAGGGACGACCGAGGCGGCCGAGGCGACGACCGCGACCGTCGCCGCAGCGATTCGCACGACCGTCGCCACGAGGAGCGCGGCAGGGATCGCGATCGGGACAGAGACAGAGAGAGGGACAGAGATAGGGAGAGGGACAGGGATAGAGATAGAGACCGGGAGAGGGAAAGGGATCGGGAGCGCGAGAGGGAGCGCGAGCGCGACTACAAGAGGCGGCGGAGCGCGAGTCCGCGGCGGCCCTCGCCGCGATACGGCTCCCCGGGGAAAAGGTTAGTCTCCCTGCCCCCGTCGTGCAATTGTGTGATTCTTTTTTTTGGTTTCCCTTTTCAAGCTGAGAGAACCGCTAGTCGCACCGCCGCCGCAGCGCTCTGACCCGCGCTGCGTCTTGCTTCGCCAGCTGCTCATTGCCATCCGGTTTTTTAAATCGCTTAGCTTCTGAATCGTCGCGCGCGGAGGAGGTCGGTGTGTGAAGAGGGGGTCATCGGAAGCGCCTCGCGCGCTTCTCCCGCTTCTTGCAGGGTTCCGCTGCGAGACGCTCCGCGTGCCGGCCGGCGCAGGAGCATGATTCCCCTCTACGAAGCTCCGCGCTATGTCTGATTTCGCGTAACTCGTTCTTCCTCCAGTCTTCGTAGTTCTCAGTCCATGGAGCATTCGCCCTCTTCCAGATACGCTTCTCGCCTCTCGCCCCTCAATTTCACGTCGCCTCTCAGCCGATTAAATCTCTTCCGTCTGGCACCGCGCCTGTAAAGTTTCTTGCTGTTAATTACGAGTAGCGTAGACAGAGCATCGTAGTGTAAGCGCGCCCATCAAGTCTCGTGCTGTAGGAGTAGGAGTAGCGAGCAGAGTAGAAGTAGCGCACTGCCCTGTGCTACTAGTGGCACCCTTCGCACCGAGCGAGTGTGGCAACGCGGCGCTGCTGGTGGTGGTGCCGGTGGCGGCGACTCGTCTGCTGGAGGCAAGTCGATTCCTCTGAGGCATTCCCATTGCCCTCCTCCCTTGCATCTTCTCCGCTCTCCCCTCACTTCCTCGCATGTCCCCTCACTGCCGCGCATTTTCTTCAATTCCACGCGTCTCCCTTCACTTCCGCGCGCGCATCGCGCATCTCCTTTCACTTCCGCGCATCTCCCCTCACTGCCGCGCATCTCCCCTCACTGCCGCGCATCTCCCCTCACTGCCGCGCATCTCCCCTCACTGCCGCGCATCTCCCCGCGCTGCTGCGCATGTGTGGACTGGAAACACATGCGCGTCCCCTTTCACGCGTGTCCTGCGCCACGCTCATCTGCTTCTGCCTGCAATCATCGTCGCCGCCTTCAGTCGCTCGCGTCCTCCCGTGCTCACCCTTTTCGCCGCCTCTTCTCTCGCTTCGTCTCCCGCCCTGCCCGCGCCACCGCAGGCACCCCTACGATGCGCCGCGCGCCATGCCGCCGTTCGCCCCCGACGATCCCTATGCTCGCCTGCCCGGCCCTCCGGGGCCACCGCCGGGTACGTAGTCATACGGGAATGGAGGTACGGGAGTGGAGGTACGGGAGTGAAGGTACGGGAGTGGAGGTACGGGAGTGGAGGTACGGGAGTGGAGGTACGGGAGTGGAGGTACGGGAGTGGAGGTACGGGAGTGGAGGTACGGGAGTGGAGGTATGGGAGTGGAGGTACGGGAGTGGAGGTACGGGAGTGGAGGTACGGGAGTGGAGGTACGGGAATGGAGGTACGGGAGTGGAGGTACGGGAGTGGAGGTACGGGAGTGGAGGTACGGGAATGGAGGTACGGGAGTGGAGATACGGGAGTGGAAGTTCGGCATTGGAGGTGTGGCATTGGGGTTATTGAATTGGAGGTATGTTCCACCCGCCCGCCCCACCACCCGCCCCATCCCCTGCCATACCCCCTGCCTGGAACTCCGTCGCCCCCCGTTCCCCGCTCACTTGCCCCCCTCCCGTCCCCTCGTCGCCCCTCTGCTCGCCACTGCCCCACCAGGCGCGGATCGCTACAGGCGGCCGTCAGCCTATGACATGCTGCCAGGTGGCGGCGGTCCCCCGCCTCCGCCTATGTACCCGCCGCACTACCCGCCCGGCGACGGGCCTCCCCGCAGGTGACGTGGTGGCGTGGTGAGGTGAAGGGCGAGGGGTTGGTTAGGTGGGTGGATGGGTGGTGGTTGTAGGTGGAGGGGTGGAGTGAAGGGGTGGATGTGTGGCGATGGAGTGGCTGTGGGTGTGGGTGTAAGTGCACCCCACGCTGTCCTGGCAGGCATAGCTGCCTTGGTTCATCCGCACATGGCGGCAACGTCCCATCACTGCCCTCCATGCTCCGCACTCGCCATCAGTGCATCACCACCCACTCCCCGTTGCGTCGCTGCTCCCTGCTCTGCTCTGCCCTCCCCTCCCGTTGCCCCGTGCTCTCACGGCCACCTCTCCCCACTCATCGCCATGCCCCTGTGTGCCCCCATGTGCTCCTTGTGTGCCCCCTGTGTGCCCCCTGTATGCCCCTCGCGTGCCCCCGTGTGTCCCCTCGTGTGACAGCAGGCCACCGCCAGCTGACGGGCCGCTGACCTACAAGCAGTTCATTGCTGACCTGGATGATGACGTGTCACCTGCTGACGCCGAGAAGAGGTGCGCACATTGGCTCTTCCTTTTTCATTGCTTCTCTGCCCTGCCCTCTGCCGCTGCTGCCGCCGGTTGGCCTCTCGTGCTGCACTGCTCAGGTCGTATCTCCAGCAAGTGTCAAGAAGGGCTTGGTGTCAAGCGTTGTTAACGCTGGACACCAAGTGGAGCCGCGTGTGAGCGCGGCTCCAGCCTGGTGTCAATGTTGGGCACATTGAACGAATTCCCGCGATCACATTGGTTGGTTTAGCTGACACCAGGAGGGATAGTCCTCCATGTGTTTTCCGAGTTGGTGTCATGACACTAGCCCTTCTTGACACTTGCTGGAGATACGACCTCATTCGTCTCTCCCTGTTCCACCTCTCCCGCGTCCCCTCGTCACCCTCTCCGTCTCCCCCGCCCCCAGGTATCTGGACTACAAGACAAAGTTCGTCGCGGCACAGAAAAAGGCCTTCTTTCACGACCACAGGAACGACGAGTGGTCAGTCCTCACCGCAGCTCACCGCACCTCACCTCACCTCATCTCTCTTGAGCGTAACGCTCGTTTTTGCCTCTTTGATGGGCTCAAACAACACATTACTTTGTGGTACCGGGTTTTTTGTTGGGGGGAAGGGGTGGGGTGGGGGGTGGTTGTGGCGGCGGGGGCAATGAGGAAAGGATGGGAAGGAGTGGGAAATAGCTGGGAAAGTGGGAAATTCGTTCGAACGGGGGATGAGATGGCATGACGGCTATGGCTGGGTTGGGAAGGTGGGGAAGTCTTATCACAACCCCTGACTTACCCCTGCCTTCCACCACCCCACTCCCCCCCTCCCCCTTCCCTGTGTGTGGCGCTGCGTGCTCGCTGGCCAGGCTACGAGCGCTCTACGACCCGGCTCGCCTTGAGAGCCTGGTGGACAGGTGAGCCTGGTGGACAGGTGAGCTCACTGCGCTGCCTCGTCAGGCCTGCTCGCTCTTGCCACGCATCATGCAGCACTGCAGCAGCGCTGTAGCAGCGTTGTTCTATCCTTTCAATTCGCCTATGAGCCCTGCCCATTGCCAGCGCTCTCTCGTTCTGCCCACTGCCTCCGTTTCCCCTTCCCCCCGCCCCTTTCCCCGCTCCTCTTTCACGTGTGGTGCATGTGTGTGTGTGTGTGCATGTGTGGTGTGCACGTGTGGTGTGCACGTGTGTGTGTGTGCGCGCGTGTGTGTGCATACGTGTGTGCATGTGTGCATGTGCATGCATGTGTGCTGTGCATGTGTGCATGTGTGCTGTGCATGTGTGCATGGGTGCGGTGCCTCCCATCAGGCGCATTGAGTTTGCGCAGCTGGAGAGCAAGCAGTTGCTTGAAAGCCTGCAGCGCGGTGATGCCGACCTGTCAGTGCCGCATCCCCTCACTCACTGCCTCATCACTTCTCTCCTCTCTCCCTCGCACACCTTTTCACGCCCTCTTGCTCTCCCTCTTTCCCTGCTCCTCATGCCTTTCCTTCTCGTTGCACTCCTCCCTCCCGCCCGCCCTCAATGCGCCACTTCCTTCTCGCCTCGTTTCTCCCGTCTCATGCCGTCACCTCACCCCACCCCATGCCCTGCCTTCCCTCTCCACCCCATGCCCTGCCTTCCCTCTCCACCCCTCACCTTCTCCATCCCCGCCTCCAAACCACTCCTCTCCGCCACCCACCAGCGGCCCCTATGCGGATCCACGTGACCCGCTAGCAGCCACGGACGCGCGGCGCCGCAGCGCCTCCTTCCGCCCGTCGCTGGCGCACGACGCTGCCACGGCCACCGCCTCTGCGCCACGCATCCCGGCGGGGGCGGGGCAGGCGGCGCGCGTGGCACACGACCTGGAGAGGGCGCGGGCGCTGGTGGGCAAGCTGGACGCGGAGAAGGGGCTGTGGGGCGCGCAGGGGGGCGCGGAGGGGGGCAACTTCCTGGTGGGGGAGAACCAGGCGGGCGCGGAGGACGAGGTGGTGAAGATCCGCGTGCCCGCAGGGGAGGGCGGGGGGGAGGCGCGGTGGCTGGCGGGCGTGGCGCTGCTGGACGCGGTACTGACGTACCTGTGGCGCGTGCACGGGGCCGACTACTACGGCGGCACGGAGCTGCGCGGGCTGCCCAAGGGGCTGAGGCACGTGCGCGCGGATGAGGGCGGGGAGGGCAAGGGGGAGGGCGCAGGGGGAGGGGAAGCTGGGGAGGGGTTCGAAGCTTGGGCGCGGCGGGTGGATGAGAAGTGGAGGGTGCGCGTGGGGGCGGAGGGCGAGGACCCGGTGGTGGCGCTGGTGGGCAAGGCGCGTGTGGAGGCGCGCATGGGGGGCGCGATGGAGGGCATGGTTCGGAAGATCAAGGACGACAAGTACGGGTGGAAGTACGGCTGCTCCGCGCCCGGGTGCTCGAAGCTGTTCCACGGGCCTGAGTTCGTGATCAAGCACCTCAAGCTCAAGCACCCCGAGCAGGTGGCGGAGCAGACGAACCGAGTCAAGGAGGAGGTGTATGAGGAGAACTACATGCGGTGAGGGCGGGGGTGGCGGGGGGGTGGCGGTGAGAGGGGGGGAGGTTGGGGTGGCGGTGAGGGGATGGTGGGTTGAAAGGTGGTGCAGGATGGGAGTGTGTGGGATGTGTGAGTGTCATTTGAGGGTGGCTCACTGAATGACATGTGAGTGCACTGGGAGAGGAGCGTGTGACTGTCTTGCCTCGCCATACAGCCTGCTGCTGCCCATTCCCCTCCACTTGGCCTCACATCATTCCCTCCACTTGGCCTCACATCATTCCCTCCACTTGGCCTCACATCATTCCCTCCACTTGGCCTCACATCATTCCCTCCACTTGGCCTCACATCATTCCCTCCACTTGGCCTCACATCATTCCCTCTCCTCCATCCCGTCCGTCCTCCCCTCACTCCCACCATGCAGCGACCCCAACGCCCCTGTCAGGGGAAGGGAGGACAGGGAGAGAGACAGAGAGAGGGAGAGGGAGCGGGAGAGGGGAGGGCACGGGCACTCGCCGGTGCCCATGTCGGCCCGTCTGGGTGCGCGACTGCCCCCCCCGCCCGACCCCTTTGCTTTCCCCCCCGACCGCTTCGACCGCCCCCCGCCCTTTGACCGCCCTGCTGGCGGCCCCCCTCCCCCCATGGGCGCTCTCCCCCCTGACGCTGGGGAGCCCTTTCCAGGGGAGCGGGGCGGGCGGTACGAGGGGGATGTGTTTGACCGTCGCGGGGGCAGGGGGCGGGGGGGCGAGGGGGAGAGGTATGAGAGGAGGGGGCGGGAGGAGGGGCCGGAGGGGATGGAGAGGTTTGAAGGGGGCGGGGGAGGGGAGTTCATGGGGCCGGGGGGAGGCGGGGGGATGTTTGAGGAGAGGGGGCCGCCCATGGACGGACCCCCCCCGCCCATGCTCATGGCCGGCCCGGGCGGGCCTCTGGACGGGCCGCCCGTGTTTGACGTCTTTGACGGCCCGCCGCCCCCGCTGCCGCCCTTTGGGCCGCCCATGCCGCCGCACATGGGACAAGTCCCGCCGGGCGGCCCAGGAGGGCCGTTTGGTGGGCCGCTGCCACCCGTGCTCATCCCCGTGCCCGGTGCTGGGTGAGTGGCGTGGTTGGGGGCGGGGTGGAGGGCAAGGTGCATGTGTTGGTGAGGGCCGAGGGGGGGGGACGTGTGGAAGGGTCGGGGCAGATGTGGGTGGTCTGGAGGGGTGGTTGGCCCTAGCCAAGTGTGTTGGTCACTCGACTGGCAGCAGATTCATACTGCAGCATCGCCATCACCAACCTCTGCTTTCTTCTCACCTTCCCCTACTTCCCTGCCATCTCCTCCTTCCCCTCCCCCCCCTTCCTTCTCTCTTTTCCCCCCATCCATCCCCTCTCCCCACCCCTCTCGCCTCTACCTGTCCCCCCAGCCCCCTAGGCCCGTTCCTGCCGGCCCCGCCAGACCTGGCGGCGCGCATACTGAGGGACCCCTCCTTCCGCCCACCGCCGTCACTCTTTGATGGCTTCGACGGCCCACCGCCCCTGCCGCTCTTCGACGGGCCGCCCCTGGACCTGCCCCCTGATGCGCCCCTCCCCCCCACCTCTGCGCCCGGCCCTGCTCCTGGCGGCGAGGAGGGGCGCTCCCCACCTCCCTCGTCAGGGGGCGGGGGAGGGGCACGCGGGGAGGCAGCACGGGGGAGAGCAGGGGCAGGAGGGAGGGACGGGGGAGGGGGGAGGGCAAGAGGGGGACGGGAGGGCCCGTATGGCAGTCCGGGGAGGTTTGGGGGGATGGGCATGGGGATGCGAGGCATGGGCATGGGCATGGGCGGGATGGGGATGGGCATGGGCATGGGGCCGATGGGAATGATGCCCATGATGGGCGGGCCGCCTCATGACCCCCGCGGCATGCGCAGGTATGGTGTTGTGCAGGTGTGGTGGCATGCGCAGGTATGGTGTTGTGCAGGTGTGGTGGCATGCGCAGGTATGGTGTTGTGCAGGTGTGGTGGCATGCGCAGGTATGGTGGCATGCGCAGGTATGGTGGCATGCGCAGGTATGGTGGCATGCGCAGGTATGGTGGCATGCGCAGGTATGGTGGCATGCGCAGGTATGGAAGCATGTGTGCACGGACGTATGGTGGCATGTGTGCACGGAGGTATGGTGGCATGTGTGCATGGAGGTATGGTGGTGTGTGTGCACGGAGGTATGGTGGCATGTGTGCATGGAGCAATGGTGGTGTGTGTGCACGGAGGTATGGTGGCATGTGTGCATGGAGGTATGGTGGTGTGTGTGCATGGAGGTATGGTGGTGTGTGTGCATGGGTGATGACTCATGTGTGGCCGTCGTCTGCAGCTTGAACCATGCCATGCCAGTCACGCTGCTGCAAACAGTGCGTGTCCCTCTCTCTCTCCGCTCTGCCCCACCCTCCCCTGTGTGAGCAGCTATCGCGACTTGGATGCACCGGATGACGAGGTCACTGTCATCGATTACCGCAGCCTCTGACCCTCTGACCCTCTCATCCGCTCACTCGCTTGCTCGTCCGCTCAACCTCACTTGCCCTGATGCGTGCTATCATCAGTGTTGCTCCGCCTCTCTTGCAATCTGTGGCGGAATTTAGGGCGCGCCCATGCCGTTCATCGGAAATGTGGGAGTCAGTCACTTCCATGCCGGTCTTCTAGTACATCCTTGAGAAGAGTTTTTCATAGATTTGGAGGTTTTAGTTGAAGGCAGTGGAAGTGTATGGATGGTGAGTAGAGTGGGGCTTTTCAGAGTGAACAATATGACATTAGTGTAACAAATACACAGTAGAAAGTGATAGATAGTGTAATACCCTGTTTGTTTCCCTTCCCAACCAACCCTGTGTATATCGAGTTATATTAGAACAGGACTTCATGTAAATTTTCTTCCAGAACCGGGTTGACGAGACCAATGAACAAAGACATTATTCTGGGCGACCAGTCGCAGTTCACCTTCAGTACAGTAACGAACTTCTCAATATGATGGATGCTCGTCTGCACTAAGTAATCGCGAGGCAGGGCCAAATTCAGGTCAACTCTGTTCCAGCACATACGCGACTCGCCACGCCGGGTTGCGAAGCTCGGTGGACGGTATTGATGGTAACAACGCGGCTTCAGTCAAATGTCCGTCGCCAAGATTTTGCGATGTTCAAGTGCGCCGGCGCAACTCGGCTGCTTTCGTCACTCGGCACATCATTTTCTTGCACAATTATTGCGTAGGTCGTGTCCGTAGGGATGACATGTCAAAGTGGGCAGTGTCAACTTGGCATTTTGACACTCTGCCAACATTGTTGGCAGAGTGTCAAGAAATTGCAGGTTGCCAGCCAATACAAATCGTCGGACACTTTTGAAATTGGCAGAGACAAACCTACAAACGAGAGAAGATTGTCGCAGGTACCTATCTCACGACCAGATGTTGCCCAATCAGCACACAATATGTCTTTTGAATTGTTCGTTGCCTAGCAGATCTAGCCATGACAAATTCTCAAACCAATGAAATTGCGTCGCTGATGTTCGTACTTGCGCTTTGACTTGACACTTCCGCTACAATGCTTGACACTCTAATTTGAATGCGCTTCGGGTTGACACGCTCTCACTTGACATGTCAACCCTACGGACACGAACTACTCTGTTATGCTGCATTCACAGTTTGGGCATCGCGCTCGCTACTTTAGAAGGCGTTGGCCTTCTGCACGCCAGATTGTCCCGATTTGCTTCTGTTGAGGTGGTTTGCGGCTGCCACGCGGAGCGCCGAACGGCGGCTGCTACGCGGAGCGCCAAACGGTGCCGTCGCTGACCTAACAGGACTAATCTACAAGCTATGAACGGTGCGGAAGGGAGAAAGCTATGGCAACAAGGAGTTTGAGAAGAATCGGGGGAAGAAAGGAAAGGAAGAAAGGGAAATGTGTGGAAGACCTAGTTGCGATGTGCAGGAAGTGTCGAGATTGTTCGTGGCTGGATTTGGGCCAACCACAACGCACCGTAATCGGTTCGCTGGTTTCGGTGTGTGTTTCGGTTACCACGCGGTTTCGCGTGCGACGCGATATGAGATGCGGCAGACGCGTTGCACGAGCCGCACAGTGCTGAAATTGGTTGGATATATAATGCTTGTTCTGTTTTGCAATGTCATTACCAATTCCAGTGAAAACCCAACTGAAAATCCAGAGACTAAGTGCTGAAACCTGTCAACCTACACAGTGGCCAGACACTATCGCCAAGTAACAGCTGGTATCAGAGCCTCGTTATAGGAACATTTGGATTCGTAATTAGCACAATTAGTGCGCGGAACGACTTGGCGAATTTCGTCGACGAAAGGCGAGTTTCAAAGGCATGGGAAACGGCAGCGGTGAAGCGAGCTCTGGTTCCTCGGTGAACATAGACGGCTCCCAGCTGGAAACACTCTTGGAGGCCCTGGTGCAAGGGCAAACGGTGGCCAAGCCAACGATAGGCTTGAGCGAGGCGCAACGTTCAATGGAAGCGATTATGGCACGTGGAGATTGAAGTTCATCCGGCGTGCACGCGAGGTGGGGCTCTGGAGACTCTACCATCCGACGAAAGGGGAGGAAGACGCGCCTCCATCTGAAACGGCGTCTGCACAAGTCAAGGCAGCATACCGAAGAAAGAGTGAGCAAGCTTACTTTCAGTTGTGTCATTCGGTTTCGGATGCTATCGCTGTGGGCCTTGACCAATTCGCGGACGACCTGAATTCTGCCGAGAAGGCATGGAGCTATATGGATGCGGTGTACCTCGGGCGGAGTGACACGAACCTGACTGCGATAAAGAGGAAGCTACTGCTGCTCGGGATGGAACCAGCAGAGAGCGTCATCGATTACGTTAATCGTGCTAAAAGTTACAACGAGAGTCTAGCGGCTATGGGGGCAGCCGAACCGGAAAGCCATATGGTCAGCTACATCATCAACGGCCTACCTAAGGACTGGGTGGGAGAGAAAGGAGTACTCACCTGCAATCCACCGAAGGACATCACCCGCTTGCTTGAGATGCTGCAGTCGCTCGAGCAAATCCGCTACAACGGAGTGCAGAGGGAGACGCTCGTGGAGTCTGCCGAGGAGAAACCGGCATTGCTGAACGCCTCTAAGGCAGCAAGGGGATTCGGCCCTGGCCCTTGCTTTCAGTGCGGGAAGAAAGGGCATAAGGCAGCAGAGTGTTACTCCAATCCACGCAGCCGCAACTTCAAGGGAAAAGTGAATAGCAGTGACGCAGCAAACAGGGAAGGAGTGAGACCACGAGGGTCGTTTCCTGGAAACTGCAATCACTGTGGCAAGTACGGACACAAGGCGTTCGAGTGCTTCACCAACCCAGCCAGCAAGAACTACAGGGGAGGACAGCAGCAAACAACAGCAACACCAAGGATAAATGCAGCTGAAGCGGGGAAAAGCGAAGGTGACGCGATCTTGGGAGGCGCCCACAAAGCGAACGTCGCGCGAGCTTCTGAAGTGTGTTTGTTGGCGAATGGGCTGAAAGAAACAAGTTGGTTTCTGGACAGCGGTTGCACGCAGCATATGACGCATCGTGCGGCCTGGCTACAGAACTTTCGACCTTCAAACATACCTTGCGTTTTGTTGGGCGATGAGGGACAACTACCAGTCAAGGGAGAAGGGGACTTGGTGCTGCGAAGTCCGTACGGGGAGCTGAAACTGGACAACGTCCTCCTTGTGGAGAAGCTGACTTTGAACCTGATAAGCCAATCACAATTGGACAGCAGTGGGTGCAAGACATTTAGCGACAACGGCAAGCTGTGGGTGTTCGACTCCGATTGGAAGGTGGTTGCGGAAGGAGCACGCAAGGAAGGGTTGTATGAAATGTGTTTGAAGGAGTGCAACAAAGCAGCAGAGACAACCTTCCAAGCTGAACCAGAGGAAGGGAAGGTGGCACGGGAGGAGCTACGTGCCATGCTAAACAAGATACCGGTGGCGGTGCTACAGCAACAAACTCCACCACTAGCCGCAGCAGTGGAGGGAATCACTATGGAAACACTCCATAGGAGGATGGGACACGCGAGCGACCAGCGCATTAACGAGCTCTTGGATAAGAACATGGCAGTGGGAGTGAAAGTATCCAAGGGGGAAAAGGAGAAGCTGAAGTGTGGCGCGTGCGTGGAAGGAAAGTCTACGAGGACATCACACCCTAAGCATGGTACCCGGCAGCCATATGAGACGCTCAAGATTGTTGCGGCAGACATATGCGGACCTATGCGTGTGGCATCCCGGCACGGCAGCAAGTACTTCATAACGTTCACCAACCTTGGGACGAGGCATACATGGGTGACCGAGATCAAGGAGAAATCTGAAGCGCTCTCGAGCTTCATAGATTGGTTGGCGGAAGCAGAACGGCAAAGCGGAAAGGAGCTCAAGGTGCTACGAACGGACAATGGAGGGGAATTTCTCAATACGGACTTCAACTCCTACTTACGCGCTAAGGGCATTCGACGCCAACTTACCATACCCTACACCCCGCAACATAACAGCGTGGCGGAGCGAGTGAATCGATCGTTGTTGGAGAGCGTTCGAAGCATGCTATCGGATAGTGGGCTTCCCCTATCCTATTGGGGCGACGCTTTGGGGATGGCGTGCTGGCTGAAAAATCGCTTACCTACTACGGGACTTGCAGCGGACATCACGCCTCATGAAGCGTTTTACCATCGAAAGCCGAGCTTGGAGTTCCTGCGCGTGTGGGGCTGCATGACTCAATACCGTGAACCGGCTGGTCCCGGTCATAAACTCCTGCCACGGACCAAGTGGGGGGTTCATTTGGGCATATGTCCAGTGAGCAAAGGATGGGTGATTAAGAATGTGGACAGCGGCAAGGTGTCAGCAACCCGTGACGCCATTTTCTACGAAAATCTCAACTACCGAGAGTGGAAGGACGGGGCAAAGGCTCCTGCAGCAACTGACAAGTCTACTAACCCTCAACCAGTCCAAGAGCTGCTGGGAAGTGGGGCTGATGGGATAGGGACAGCAAGTGATGTGAGTGCAGCGGAGCTAGAGGACGACGACTCACCCGTGACTTGGGTGTGGGAGACTACCCCGACAACTGAGGGTGACACGGTAGCGGAACCTGAAGGGCAGCCGGGTGATGCAGCAACTAGTGGCCAGCAAAGTGACCAAGCAAGGAATGACCAGCAGCCGCCAGCTACTAATGAAGCGAGTGATCCATGGCGGCTGTTTGATGCGGACAGCAGTGACGAAGCAACGGGGGAGATTGATAGCTTGCTAGAAGAAGGTGCGATATTGATTGGGCGCGAGGAAGAGGAGCAGCAAGATGAGAGCCAAGGACCTACCGAAGCCGAAGCAGAGTCACCTGCACCAGCCGCACAAGAAGAAGAATTGGGCAGAGGCATGCGGATTAAGCGACCCAACCCAAGATACGCAATGATCCTCATGACGTGTTGGCGCGACGTGCACACCCATCTGCTACTTACCACAACCGCAACGGCACTAATTTCCAAGGAGCAGCGTACAACCTACG